GATCCGAGCTGATCGGGAGGCAGGGCGTACACACTGCTGGTCCCACCGCAGTACTTACTATCATCGTCGTACCAGTCTTGGTAGCACGGGTACTGCCAGTGTGAGTGCTTCTACTAGTACAGGTACGACTACCACGACGACGACGACTACGACGACAGCTACTACCACCACCACCACCACTGCTGCTACTACCGCAGTGCTGCCGTCACCGCTACTTTTGCGACAGCTATTACAACACAATCAGTTTAAAGGTATGTACATATGCATGTATGTAGGTATAAGATGTAATATATGTATATACATATATGGACACACACACATATATATATATATAGGTATGTCTATACCCATGTATATGTATATATATATATGTCTATGTGTATATGTATATGTGTATATATATATATATCTGTATTCATCTCTTGGTTGTACTATTGCCATCGGTATGGTGCCGGAAGGATTTTCTTACATATATACGTATATACATGCATGCACAGAGAGAGAGAGAGAGAACAACAAAGCGTGACTGAACAAGTCCCTCACGCCCGATGGAAGAAGAAGAAAGAAAGAGAGAAAGAGAGAGAGAGAGAGAGAGATATATATATATATACACATATTTTTCTCCCGATCATGGGGGTGAAGCGCATCTTCTTACGACCCCAAAGCCCTGCTCTCTGCAACAAGGCAGGGGGGGTGCCTCGGCACGTGTCCGACTCGCTCGGACCTGCACCCAACGGAAGGAAGGAAGAGAGAGAGAGATACATATGTATATATACAAATATACATACATATGTATATATGTAAATATAGAACAGGCATGTCTTCAACCCCGGAAGGGGCCTCTCAGACTACTTGCGCGGACCGTGAGGGGTAGGCCTCCGGGCCAGGGGACCTAGTCCCCAAACCCCGAGCAAGCAAACCAGCAAGATATATTATAAATATATATATATACACAGATAGATAGATAGATAAATAGATAGATATAGATAAATACAAATATATATATATATAAATAAATAAATATATATATATATACACATACATACATACATACATACATACACATGCATGCTCCCCCACCGCAAAGATGCACTGTACGGATGGTTCACGGGGGTGCAGGGATAAACCAGATACTGAATGTTCAACAAATCCAAAATTGTTAATCCTGAATGAAACTCACGAATCGCTTTCATGCTCAAACCATTCCAAAACGTCCAAAATTCTGGCATCTATGGGGCAGGGGGGGGATCGCCAAGATTTCCGGGATTTTCGGCATCATTTGAGCATGACAGTGTTCCATTGGTCCGCGAGTTTCAGGATCAACAGTTTGAGTTTTGTCGAGCCTGTCTGTAATGCTCGCAAAAACAGGGCTTGGTGAAGAACGTTTCCGATCTTGAGCATCCATTGCCTCCTCCGCCTCGTCCTCCTGCTCCTTACTACTGCTTTGGGTTTAGGGGTTGCTTTTTTTTGGGGGGGGATGAGGGCATGCACCGATAGGAGTGTCGCAAGCAGTCGTCACAATCATAGGGATGTTGGGACATGCTACATTGTAGTTAAACGGCACTGTCGGGATAGTACAGTCGGTCAGTGGATGGGTGGGTCGGAGTGTTACTTTTGCTACTTCTGCTGCTGACACTGCTGCTAGGACATGTGCTGCTGATGTTACTTGGTTCTTGTACTGCAGTGGCGGCCAAAAGTTGGTCGCCTGCTCAAGAGGTCATGCTTGCTGCCATGGGACACAACGGATCTCTCTACAAGCGCCACGGCACCAATCATAGAGCCAACCGCGCAAGAAGAGGATTTTGCAACTTATTGTTTCAGGCCTTGCCTGATAGTCGCTCACAGGTACGTAAACAGTTCGTTGGGCTTGGATGTGGACTTCATGAAGGCAGCGCTTCAGCAGGCTCCTTGCCGGAACTGCCCTCTTCCGACTTGGCAATGGCATACTTCACCAGCTATCTGCATGGACAAGACCTTTATGCTGCTGATGGTTGCCCGGCAAGGTGTGGCACTGCAATACGCAGGAAGCGAGCTCAGAGATGACGAGGAGCTGGTCCGAGCAGCGATGCATGCATACCCGCTGGCCTTCCAGTATGCTTCTTACGCGTTGAGAGGCAACCGTGCATTTGCCACGTATGCCGTCGGAGTGTCTCTGCAAAATCTCTTTTACGTCTCCGAGGACTTGAGAAGTGACAGGAACTTCGTTCTTTTCTGTCTCCCAACTTACTATATGGGTCAGCCTCAGGCAGTTCAAGTTACAACGATTCTCAAGAAGCTGCCTGAGACCTTTGCTTCAGATCGGGAAGTGGTGTTGCGGGTGCTGCAGGCTTTGCCGCACTGGCACCGCAGAGCGGAGCTGATGCGAGCCAGCAGAGATCTACACTGCGACGCCGAGCTCAAGGAGGTTGCTGGGCTTCAGCTTTCTCGGTTTGCCGTGCGAGGGTACACAGACGTGCACCTACCCGCGCCACCTTTGACTGCCGAGAGTCGGAATGCACTCCAGTACTCGACGACTGCGGCGCAGAACAAGCAGTCCTTCTGGCGTGAGCTTCTTCACAAAGACCCAGCTGTTCTTGCATTTCTGGGCAAGGATGAGGCCGTCGACGAGAAGGACTTGGTGCTTGCAGCTGTGAAGAAGGACGGCCGCATGCTGGAATATGCCAGCGAGGAGCTGCGTATGGACGTTGACCTAGTCCTGGCCGCCTTGGAGAATGATGCAGATGTGTACGACTTCCTGCCAGAGGCCATGCGCTGCAGGGAAGAAATTGCCTTGCTGGCCTTTCGGAAACATCGTATCAAGTTGCCGAAGCCTCTTCTGTCCAATCGTCACGTGGTAGTAGAAGCTGCCGCAATGCAAGACAAAGCCACGGAGGTAGAGAAGAGGCGTCTGCAGAAACTTCCTTTGGCTCACCTTGTCGCGAAGTTCGAGCTGGCATGAGATGTAGGCAGATGCTGACTTGTACAGTGCACGGCCGGCCTGCTTCTTCAAAATGCTGCGACGCCTGCCCAAACTCGTCTTTGCACCGGCATCCTGTGCTGTGAGTGCTTGCACGATGTTCGACAGGATCACGATCCCAACGATCTGGTGAAGTTTCTCTTGGATACAGACATCCCTGCCTGGGAGCGTAGTAGCCTCAAATGGTTTGGTGTCAAGTCAAGTTGCCGCGCGCATACTTTCTACAGGCATGCGGGATCATCGTTCACTGCACGGTCAGTCAAAGTTCTGTTACGCAAGACACAAATTGCGGCAACAGGCAAACACACGGGCAAGCACAGACAGAGGCAGACAGAGGCAGACAGAGACGGACAAAGACAGACACAGACACAAACAGAAAGAGCCAGACACAAACAGAAAGAGCCAGACGAACAGACAGACAGACAGACAAACAAACAAACAGACATACCGACAGGCAGACACAGCAAGAGAGAGAGAGAGAGAGAGAAGTCACGTCCTAGCCCCTCCTTTTTTCACCGTAGTCAGCCTGGGGGACCACGTAACGGCAACTAGTGGTAGGCTTGTTGACTTGTCTCGTGCATGGGGGCCCCGCTCGTGGTGTTTTTTGGGCCCTACCAAGTCCCTCAGCCTAACTACAAGGGGGAAACCCCAAATTAAAGGTTCGCCACGAATAGCGTGGGGATGCATTAAGGCTCTTCCGTATACTGCAAAGCCCACTCAGCGATGCCATAGGGGCGCGGTGACGAGGCAGGTTGGGGGTCCTAGTGTTCGGGGTCGGGCGCTCGCAGCATGGGATCAGCCTCACGCTTTGTCCTCAGTTTCAGCAGTCAGTGAGGGTTCAAAGCCTACCACTCAACAAAACAATGGGTGGTGGGGCGGGCCGATGGCCTGAGGGTCGGGACAACCGACCCCTACGCCCTGCAGAAAGAAAGAAAGAGAAGTCACAAGAGGACAGTCGCAAACCCTTGGTACGTCTGCTGGTACGTATAGCGCTTCCCCCGAAAGCCCCACGAATCCGTGGCGGGCCCTACGGGCCGGGGGGCTTCGCCCGCCCCCTTAACCTGAAGGAAGAAGTGACGTCATGTCTTTGCCCATGGTAATAACCGCCTATGCCCCCTCTTCTCGAAGGCAGCGGGCCCACAATCATTTCTCTCTTATTAGACCTTCGCCGTAATGTTGGCCTTTTTCCCCGCGGGTTTACGTGTCTCTGCATAGGTGTAGCTGCCTTCATGTTGTAAGCCGATTTCCCAGAGCCTCTCCGTAACATACGGGGGCGCTGACGCGCAGGGGCAAGGGAGATCAAGGGAGTCTCCCCTGTCCCTAGCCCTGGCGAAAGAAAGAGAGAGAGAAGGCATGTGCCATGTTAGGAGAGCCCGATCGTCCACTCACGAGGGGCACTACGCATCGGGGCTCGCGAGCAAGCCATTATCCGGTGGCAGAGAAACGGGTGGAGGTGGGAACTCTACCATGCCCAAAAACTTGAAGCTCTGGACGGCCTACACCTCCACATACCCCTACTGAGAGCAACAGCAAGAAGCCAGGCACAAGGAGATGAGAGCGAGAAAGAGTGGCCGAGCGACGACGGGAACAAGACGGAGCATGCAACGGAGCACAAGACGAAACCACCAACGACGGGAGCAAGAAGCGGCGGCAGCGGCAGCCCGAGCGAGGAGGTGACTTCTCCGATATTCTCCGCATCCTGGAGCTCAGAAGCAAGAAAAGATCAGAACACAAACGCAGCAGGCCCTCGCTGCATTACTAACAGCCGCCGAGGGCACCCGAGACAGCAGCCAGCAGCAGTGGAGATGGACCCCACAAACCCGCACGAGACGGCGAGCACCCTCACAACGCTAATGATGGAGACGATCGAGGGACTCTATGGAATGGGGGGACCAACTCTTCCACTCTTTCTCGAGGGCCCGCACCGTGGACAGAACTACGCCTACACGGAGCGAGCAGAAGCAGTTTGCTCAAACCTGCTAGTAGCACCTGGCCACAGGCTGCGGCCAAGCATGGGGCACAGGCACACGACATGGTGGGAGTGGAGAACCTCATGCCCCGCGGAAACACACTGCCGACGTCGCAACGACGAAACTTCACAGCCAGGCCACAAACTTGTTCCCGCCTACCACACAGCACTGGGGGGACCCGGTGGGGTTAGTGGACGAACTACTGCGTGAACCTCGCGCAGCACAACCGCTACTGCAACCTGGGCGACCTGAACCTGAACTACAAGGACATACCGGTCAGTGCGACTGAACACAAGAGGGCCGAAGAGGAGGGGGACCAGACCTCTCGGACCTGTTACAGCCGCCAAGCCTGGAGCCTGGGAGGCATGACGCCACTGCAAAAAACACCCAACTGGAACCGAGCGGGCTTACGGCCTGCGGAAAGAAAGAGCGCGCGAAAGGCCACCGCGCTAGAAACGTAATTTTCCTCCGCCTCCGACCTGCGCGGCCCGGGAGCCCTGACCCGGCTCCTATGCCTGAGAGAGGGAGGGAGAGAGAGAGAGAGAGAGAGAGAATATCTACAAAATTATCTACAAAGCCCCGGAGCTCGAACAAAACTTGCAACAAACCATCCCCCGAAAGCCCCATAATATATGGGGGGCCTATTGGCCGGGGGGCCTTACTCGCCCCTCAAACCCTGGGAAAGAAAGAGAGAGAGGCCTGCAAAAGCCGCCATCCCCGAATCGGCGGTTGTATGTTACCAGCTTACTAGATGTTTTGTGACGGGCGGCGTGGCCAGTGTGGTACTCGAGATATTTCATGGGGCATGGCGAGAAGGGGCGGCGGGTGGTCGGGGTCACTTGTGACTCGAGCGCCAAGGCAAGTTCTTCCCTACAAAAGGTTTGTCCTAGTTGCTAGTAGCGCGCTCTGCTAAGGCAGAGATCGGGATACTGTGCGATGATCTGACTGGCTGCACTTCCCGTTTCACGTCTGGCAAAGCTCCGCATGTTGTATGGCACCCGAAAAACCGACAACTCGCTGAAAGTGCAGCTTCAGTAAGCTAGTGTTCACTTGACTGCCCATGGATGGAGTGTGAATGCACCCAGCTTCAACTCCCCAGTGATACTCTCAATCCAGTTTGCTTCGCCGCAGCAGCAGCCATTATGTTGCAAGAGGCTGCGTAGCGTTCATAGCAGGTCTTTCCTCTGAGGTGTTTGGCAGCCATTGGCATGCCGATCTCTGGCCCCAGGCTCCTTCCCGCACTCGTGGTGCTGGCCGCCCCCCGCCTGTGGGCTGAGAGAGGTTCTTTAGACAGTGGTCAAAGTCTTTCTCTCGATCAAGCAGCTGCGAATGGCTTCACCTACAACGACATCCTTGACGCTTTGCAGGAGCTACAGCACGAGAAGCTCGCAGAGGAGACTCAGTCAGTCAGCCGAGTCAGCCGGCACGCATACGACACGTCGGACGCTGCTGGAGGTGTAGACCCAGTCCAAGACGAGGTAAGCACCACAGACGTCCTAGAGACGAGCATAGCGACCACAACCGAGAAGGTTGGGGCACAGGCTGGCTCAGATGCCGAGTCTGATACGAGTGGGCAGAGCGAGCAGAATGGGCAGGCTGCGCAGGATAGTGTAAAGTTAAAGCAGCGCTTCTACAGTCACTTCCGGTCCAAGCAGGCGCGACTTCCCCAAAACTCACCTTCTCGCATAGGCCGCTCATGCAACAGGTCGGCAACAGTAGGAGGGATTTGCTGATTTGGAAGAGGCTTCTAGCAAAACTTCGTCTTGGGCATAGGGTATGGACAGGAAGAAGACAGCCGGCAGTTCGCAAAGTTCCCAGAGATGGTGGAAATCCTGGAGTCAAAGGCGAACCAGGTCATGACGAGGAGCAGACGATGGAAAAGCTTGCTGGAGAAAATCAACCAGGGCAACAGGAATTTCACAAATTTGATCAAGAAGTTCGGCTCGGCAGTCAAAGAGGACAATCTGGCCAAGGTACAGCGTGTCGTTACAGTGCTTAATGGTTCTGAGTCCGCCCCAGCAGCCCAAGCATCGTCCAGTTCAACCTCTACTACAGTGACCCCGACACCATCAGACCTTGGACTAGACGAGGATGAAGACGAAGATGACGAGGATGAAGACACACAAGAAGAGGAAGGAGAAGATGAAGACGAGTCTGACGAGCAAGCGGATCCCACTGTTGCGAATGCCAAACAGGCACCGCAGGCAGCACAAGCACTAGCACCGATTCGGCAAGTTACAACATCACCGCGAACCGACGAGAAGGACGGCAGTGAAGTAGAGCCATCCACAACCGTTGAGGATGACACCACCCCCGCACCCGGTCGCCTGGGCATAGACGACAACAGTGTCGAGGACGATGATTCATGATCGGAACACCTTCGACGGCACCCGGCACGTTCTCAGGGCGGAACAAACCGATAGGATGCGAGTGGTCGACACATGACGCGAGGTTTCACTGAAAAAGCTATTCGTGCCAGGTATATGTTAGTTCTCAGTCCCCACGCGACCATTCAGAGGGTAGAGAATGACAGTGGTGTCTTTCCCATGCATGGCTGTTTGCGCTGAGATGGACTCTGTCTTCAACTGCATCAGCATTTTTCAATCAAGCCGCGTGGCATCGGCCTCCAGTTGCCTGGCACCAAAGCTGAGCGTCTCTGCCAGAAGCAGGACAAACGAGGCCACCACCTCTGCGCATCGCAGTGAGACCTGCACATCTGTTGTCTTCCTTCGGGAGGTCAATGGCAAACAGCGAGCTAGCTTATCTTGGTGGCATTTGCTCCGCGAGAACCCCAGCTTTGAGAAATGTACTTGTGAATGTGAATTCCAACAACGGTTGGGCTTTCCCTTCTCACTTGTGCCCTCTGTTCGGTCTTCGGGCTGCAGGTGGCAAGGTGTCAGAAGGCCAGCTAACGGAACAGGGCTGGTGTCCGTTCGGACAAAGGCTTTAAAAGCGAACCGTTGCCACTCCACGTCTATGCAAGAGCTTAAGGCCGCCTTGAAGTCATCAATGCTTTGCGCCGAGGCGGGGATGGTGAGCTACTTCTGGATGCTACGATGCATACTAGAGCTACGGCGTCTTCCTGGCAACGGTCTCCAGTGCTTCGAGGAGCTGGGAAAAGTCCGAAACTCACTGCTTTGCAGCTTTTGTCAGGGCTGGGCTTTCTGCGAGTGAGGAGACTTCGACCATGCTAGTTCTCTTCTTGGTGGTGAAGGTCCATTGCTGCAAACACCTTCATTCAAGATGCAGTGAATTGTCGTCGGGTGCAAGAGTTGAGCAGAGGCCGTGTTGTTGGTGCTCCACACACTGATGCTATTGTTCGGATGGAATGATTCCAGCACCGGCTGGTACATTGGCATTGGGGTTCTTCTTGCCGATGCTAGTGTCGCCCTCTGCCTGCACTGTGATTTCTGCGGGCCTGAGCCTGGAAGCATTCCATGTTGTCTCATCAAGAGCATTTTGCTCCGTTGACACTCAGATTGCTGTGGCCGTGTACCTGCGAAGCTGGATCGCCCGACGAAAGGCGGCACTTCAGGCACCTCGACTGAACTAGTGGCCGGAGTCTCATGGTCGCAGGTTTTTTGTCGGCCTTCAAAACATTTCAAGACATCAAACAGAACAAGCATGATTCTTGGATAGAGGGCCTATAACCTATATACTTGGATCGAGTTGGTCCGAACTGCCTTACGGCTAGCTCTGTCAGGCGGCACTTCCAGATGTGGCGACGTGCCTCAGTAAATTTTGTTTGTTAAATAGTCAAGCACAGTTTCCGGCCTCGTGGTGGTCTACTGTTTAGATCAACTCCACCGTTCGGAGTCTGGCTACACCTTCCTCAAAACTGTTCTCATTCTCAATCTGCTACCTGTAGCATGCATGGTCCTTTGACTTCCTTCCCTACGTTGTCGTCACATAGCCCTGAATGTGGAGATGCTGGTAGAGGTTGACAGGCAGATCATCACTTCACCTGGCCCACTGGTTGTTGTCATCTTCAAAAGCGCACGTCGCTGGTCCGATTGTACGCGGGTTAGGGGCCCTCGTCGCGGGTCCCAACATAGCTCTCCTTACTGACTGTTGGCTAAGTGCTACGTTCCCAGTTTGTGTCTGTCACAACACGGAATACGGCATAACTTTGAGTTACATCTATCTATCGCTGTTGCTAGACCTATTCGGCTCCCATTCTGAATCTGTTCGGACCTGCACGAAAGAGTCAGCACATAAACGTCTACAGCCAAACTTAATTCGCTCCCATTACCGGAACGGGAGGCAAAGTGTAGAAGTTGACTTCAGCAAGGCTCTAGGTTTGACGGGGGCACGTGTGCTAAGGTCATACCTCCGGTCCTCTGGTCTTTTTTTCCTTGTATGAGAGACTGCAGCCACTCTCCTTGAGGTGGAGGCCCAGAAGCTTGAGAAGGACAAGCGCAGCACGACCTTGGAGCAGCTACCCAGAGACACAGCTGATCTGGCCTGGCCATGCCGGTATTCAGCTTGTCATGCCGCATCGCATGTACATCATGCCGTGCCTTGGACAAGTTTATCCCTCTCTGCAAGACTCAGGACTACAATATGCGGAGCTGCAAACTAAAGCAGAAGTCTCCGAAAGGACCAGCAGCGTACTTCTGCACGTGCTCAGCATCCCAGCATTGGTTTTTACCAGCGAGGGGTTGCAGGTCTGCACTGCTGTGCACCATAGCACTGGCCTAGTTTTCTGGCCTTGTATGTTGGTGTAAATGCGGTTCGCCATGCCTGTAGGATGCCGCCCAATGCAGCTGCGAGTTTGATGACACTGCAGGACATTCGACGCGCTACTTGCATAGGGAATTGTTATTCAGTCCAGCAGCGGCTGCAGTTAGGGTCTAACTGCAAATGGCCAGGACCAGTGCATAGTCTGCTTGAGCAACTTCGAACCCGACTGCACGGCAGCTCGGTGTGTCCACACTTCCGCGACTTCCGTTGCAGCGCTGCTTCGCATGGCATGTGTTGCCTGGTCCGTGTTTCAAGGTGCTACAGCTACCTTGTGGTCACGTTTTCCATGTCCCTGGGATTGATTTTCTGCAGCGACTGCAACAACGAAATGCTGCATCATGTCGTTGGCCTCTAAGGAGGACTGTATTGCAGACTGGTTCTTGGATGCGAAACATGATCCTTGTCCGTTTCGTTGCCAGCAGACTGCCGCTGCTGACGGCCTTGCACCTCGACTTCAGGTGACTGCGTCTCGCGTTTTTGGGCATGGAATGTTGCGAGCATTGACATGCTCCTGCAGTTTCGATGCTTCAGCCATGTCGACCGAAGACGACTATGCGTGATCTTTCCTACCTGTTTGTGGGCGTAGGGCTGACGGCATTCTCTTCTGATCGGATTCTGCAACAGTGGAGTTGCACTGGGAGGCTTCAGGAAACTGTTGTGCAACCAAGAGGGAAACCTCAAAAGGCGTTTGGGATCTCGATCTCTGAAAGAAACCAGCTTACGAAGGTAGATGAGGACCCACCGATCATTATCAAACTCCGCCTGAGGCCAAGACATCAGAAGCCTGGCCTGAAACGTCCGATGAGACAAGTCGCCGGGTAGCGCCTTTTCCTGTGCTTGGTGCCCCGCACATACCAAGCCTGTCCCGCATGGCGACGCCACCGTTTTGGGTAGCCATCCCAGACCGGGATCGCTGCTCCATCTCCCGTGTCATCGAAAGGCATCGCTGTTATCCCGAATAGCCTCCAGGCGCCTAGAAACCACCAATGAAAACGTCGCAAATCACGAAACGTGCATGGCGAGGCTTTCGTTGATATCTGCGTTGGCGGTGGGGGGGCCCAAAGGCCAGCCAGACCCGGGCAAAACCCCCCGCCCCGCTCCCCTCACTCGGTTGCTGGCGGCTGCTAACCCCGTATGTTGCTGACGCGGCGTGATTGCATGTGAGGATGCCTGGTGCCCGCCCCGCCAGCTTTGTTTACCCTCCGTTGACGGCTGCCTTTGAATGTGAGAATTGCTTGGAGCCCGGATCGCCAGCTTTGTTTTGCTTGCCGCCTCGGCATCGGCTAGCTGTCGTTCCCCTGGCCCCGCCCCTCAAGCATCGCAAAGCTATTGCCCTTCAACCAAGCTGTCCAGACACCCGTTTGGGACATTAGTTCCAGCAGTAGAAAATGGAGTTTAAGCATAGGCTGCAGCTGGTCCTCGATCGAAGCGTGACCAGTGCAACAGCGGAGTTGCACTGGAGGCTTCAGGAAACTGTTCTGCAACCGAGAGGGAAATCTCAAAAGGCGTTTTGGGCTCTCGATCTACCAATGTGCGAAAGCTCAGCTACTCTGAAAGACGCTCTGCGGTCTTGATTTTGCCGCACCAACTCTCAAGAACGAGTGGCCCCGCTGTGAACATGAAAGGCATCAGGTGTCATTCACCAACGTCGCATGTTATCTCAAGGGCTTTTCGCCCAAGTCGAATTTCATGTCTTGTTCAAGCTTGCCTTTGGATATGTGCAGGTATTCCCGAACGAGCAGGTCTTCCCGAACCAAGTTCATGATCTTGATCTTGAAGCAGCTGTCGAAAGCCTCACATCCGAGACGTTTCGTGGCAACAGATTTCTCAAGTTCTGTACCTTTGAATGGCCTCGCATGCAATCCCGTTTGCAACAGCCAATCTGTCCGAAGCGCTCTCGGTTTCAAGGCTCGCAGATGAAGCTCTGCCTGTTCACCCAGTTCATCAGTCACTATGAAGTGAGTTGCCTCCCGAGCTTCTGCGGGAGCGCAGGCTGTACAAACAGCCTAGATCTGATGAAATCCCGGCGGCAGTGGGTCGCGCAACGACCGCCTTGGGTATGCACTTGGCATTGCCCGGTGCGGACGAAAGTAGCAAACCTCGCGGTTTCTGTTTTTCTCCCTTGCTCGAGCCATGAGCCCGGCAGAAGCGCAATTTTTGGTTGTAGGCTCCAGCTTGCACAACTGTTTTACGCTGTCTAGCCATGCAACTGTGTTGCGTGCAGGTGGCAATCCCCGCAAAGTGCGCATCTGGCTGTGACTTCAGCCGTCTACGTCTAGCCTTCTTCGATAAGCAAGTGTTCGTACTTGTCGCAGCCAGGAATAAGCCGATGCAGCGAAAGTCTGTTTCCCAAGGGGCAGAGAATTTAGGTTAGGTAGGATTCGCCCATCTCAGTTTCTAGCCCGGAGCGTCATGGTGACAATGCAAAGTGCAGTCTCGTTTGCTACGCAGCTTAGGCTTGTTTCTATCTGAGTTAGACAGTTAGTCTTGCAGGATTGATGTCTCCGCGCTGCTCATCAACGGACTTTCTGTCCGCAGGTAATGTGCTTGGAGCAACCAGCTGGTCTTAACCAAGTCAGCCGCCTTTGATGCTCCGTATGCCCATGCCGCCCTGCAAGCTGCAGTC